CAGATGATTTTATCTTTCTTCCAGAAAGAAACACACAGCCGTTGCATGCCCGGCTTAGCCTGAAACCTTTGCTGCTGAATTGGCTGGTTGTTCCTGCCTTGGCAGGATGATGAATGAAAGGGCATCCGTCGGCCACCTGGGCAGAACGAGGTCCTAACCTGACTGCTTCCCCTGTGTGTGTAAAAGAGTCATGTTTTCTGCAAGGACAGCAGCACCCTGGCGGTTCATATCCCGCCCCAGGGATATTACGCCACATGAAGGATCACTGAGAAACAGCTTCTCTGCAGGAGCTGCCCTCCCACTTTACAGCCTGCTTTTTTTTGCAATGGCATTTACTCTTCTCTTTCCACTTCATCAGCAGTTGGCAGAGCAGCTGCTATTGTTGCCCTGCAGATCAGCAGACAAAGCGACTCAGGAGACAGGAGAGAAAGAGGAATGAAGATGTTCAGCACTCATCGCCTCCCCCCACTCCAGTTCTTCTTGCAGGAAGCCAGAAGCCAGAGTTGAGTGAAACTGAGTTCTCTTGGTTTCTCATTTTTCTAGCCTTTAGTTCATTGCTTCACATTTCCACATGAGTTTGTGATTTTTTTTTTTAAAGTTCCTCATGAAAACGCACCAGCGTTTCGTGCAAATTTTGTGCAAATTTCTCTGAACGTGCACATTTTTGTTTGCAATATTGACTGATGTGCCCATTTTGCAAAGGAATTTTCCCTAATAAAATGCATTTGCAAAGGGATTTTATCAATTCCTATTAATGCACATTCTGCCCCCTTAAATGCATTTTGTACACATTACCTGACTGGAGTATTTATTATTATTATTATTATTATTATTATTATTATTATTATTAAATACCACCCTTCATCTGTAGATCTCAGGGTGGTTCACAACATAAAATACAATATAAAAACACAAAATGTGTAACGAAAACAAGAACAAAATCCACAAACCAATAGACCTCCCCTTCCCGCAAACACATTTAAAAGGGCTAGAAGAAATCAACAAGCCAAAGTCCTGGCTGAAGAGGTACTGCATTGCAAAATTCAGAACAGTGCAGATTTTTGGAGTATGGCTGTGCATTGTTGCAGAAAGTGAGAATTCAATAGGTTCAGGAACAGAATAGGTACCGCTCTGGTGGGAAGGTAAATGGTGTTTCTGTGTGCTGCTCTGGTTCACCAGAAGCGGCTTAGTCATGCTGGCCACATGACCCGGAAGCTGTACGCTGGCTCCCTCGGCCAGTAAAGCGAGATGAGCGCCGCAACCCCACAGTCGGCCACGACTGGACCTAATGGTCAGGGGTCCCTTTTCCTTTACCCTTAAGGGAGTTTGCTAACATGTCTGCAAGCTGCACAGTCAGGGCCAATTACTCACCTCAAGCACAGGAAGAGCAGGAAGGCGATGATGAGCGCGCCTACAGAAATGCAGTGCCCCAGGTAGTTTATGATCATGGCAACCTGGTAATAGAGAGCAGGCTTCGTCTGGGGGTGAGAAAACAGAAAGAGAGGTCTCATGAGCAAAGCAGCCTGAATCTATGGACCTGAATCAAGGCGGGTGGCCCATCCTATGGCCCTTAAAAGATTGCTGGACTCACTTGGGAAGACAGGCGAACTAATACAGTGTACTGGAAGAAGCAAAGATCACCAGTGTGGGAGCAATGATTCTTCAACACCAACTTTGTTGGACTGGTCATGTTGTGCGGATGCCTGATTATCGTCTTCCAAAGTAACTACTCTATTTTGAACTTAAAAATGGAAAGCGTAATGCTGGTGGTCAACAAAAGAGGTTTAAAGACTGTCTCAAAGCAAATCTTAAAAAATGTAGTATAAACACCAGCAACTGGGAAACACTTGCCTGTAAGAGCTCCAGTTGGAGAACAGCCTTTACCAAAGGTTTCATGGGCTTTGAAGACACTCAAACTCAGGACGAAAGGGAGAAACGTGCTAAGAGGAAGGTACGTTTGGCAAACCCTCACCATGATCAACTCCCACCAGGAAACCAATGTCCCCACTGTGGAAGGACGTGTGGTTCCAGAACTGGCCTCCACAGTCACTTACGGACTCATTGTTAAAACTGTGTTTATGGAAGACAATCTTACTCAGCTACGAGTGATTGCCAAGAAAAGAAGAAGTCCCAGCCAGCATGACCAATGGCCTGAGATGATACGAGTTGCTGTTTACTGCTGAAAGTCTCGAAGGTCAGAGTTCCTTCACCTTCAAATTAGGATATGGCGAATCAGTTGAGAAAGTGGTAACCCACCTACACTTTTAGGCAAGCAAATCACCCAACGTAGCTTGGCCAACTGAAAGATTGCATCGCCTTATACCAGTGTTTTTTAAACTCGGGTCTCCAGCTGTTTCTGCACTCCGACTTCTATCATCCTTGACCACTGGTCCCCCCAAAGTGTCCTGGGAGCTGTAGTTTGAGAGCCAATGTGGTGTAGTGGTTAAGAGCGGTGGACTCGTAATCTGGTGAACTGGGTTCGCTTCCCTGCTCCTCCACTTGTAGCTGCTGGGTGACCTTGGGCTAGTCACAATTCTCTGAAGTCTCTCAGCCTCACTCACCTCACAGACTGTTTGTTGTGGGGGATAAAGGGAAAGGAGGTTGTTAGCTGCTTTGAGACTCCTTCGGGTAGCAATAAAGCGGGATATCAAATCCAAAAACCAAAATCCAAAACCCAAGGGTTGCTGAGAGTTGACAATTCCTCTTCACAGGGAGCTTGGGAAACTATAACTCTGTGAGGGGAATGGGGATCTCCAAACAACTATCCACACCCTTCCTTAGCAAACTACAGTTCCCAGGATCCTTTGGGGGAGGGAAGCCATGATGGTTTAAAGTACAGTGGTACCTCAGGTTGCATACGCTTCAGGTTACATACGCTTCAGAAATAGTGCTTCAGGTTAAGAACTTTGCTTCAGGATGAGAACAGAAATCGTGCTCCAGCGGTGCAGCAGCAGCAGGAGGCCCCATTAGCTAAAGTGGTGCTTCAGGTTAAGAACAGTTTCAGGTTAAGTACGGACCTCCGGAATAAATTAAGTACGTAACCCGAGGTACCACTGTAGTATCATAGTGTATGGTGTAAATGTGGCCCTAGTCTGGTTCACCAGAGACTTCAACGGTTAATAGTCATCCAGTGGAGCCAATTTGAATAAAATATTTTTGTGGGGAGCAGGTGAGCCATGCTCCACAACAAGATGAGGCATGCACACAACATTTGAATCGCAATGCCCATTAATTTTGGAGGAGGCCCTCAAATATTTTATTGGGGGGAACTGAAGGGACCTGGGCCCCTAAGAGTCGGCTCCTATGTATTCAGCCCAGTTTGGAGAGGAAAGTGGGAGAACACCCTCCCCCCTGCTCTTTTAGCATTTGGAACTGGGCTGGTTGCATCTGGTCAGCCTAGAAAATAATATATTCCATCCATAGAGATTAAAATATGAATAATAGCAAACGGCAGGGAAAAGGTCATTGGAAGCGGGCTAAATCGGAGCTTTAATCAAAACTGGAATGACGGTGAAGTATTTGGTCATAAACCCAGCCTCCCTCCCTGCTTCTCTTTCTCATTTGAGATCTGAGCAGGCATTTGGGAATATTCCTCTGCTTTGATATTTATAAAGCACTTTGGCAAACCAATGAGGAACTACCAGACAAATATCTTAATGCCTTTCAAACACCGAGCTGGACTTCTGGGAATGTTTCTGCTCCTGACTGATGGAGAGAGCCTTCAGTGCTCCCATGACAGAAAGTATGGAACATAAACTGATCAGATGTGACTAGCCCTGTGACAGGAAGATGTTTGGGCATAGCTTCCCCATGTTTGTTTTTCTGATGCAAAGAGCGGCAGAAATTCGTGCGAGGGGTGTTAAGTATAACGGTTTAATTGTACACTGAAATGGAAATAACTCTGTATATGCTCTGTATGCGTCTTGCTAAGGGTTTGCCGTTGGAAATTTTCACTGAGCTAAATTAGAGAGCTCTCTGAGCATCTAAAGGGGTGCTAATCAACTTAGGGTGTACCTCTGCTCTGCTCTCTTATGTGGTGTTTAACTTTAGATAATGTGAGTGGTTATTCAGTCACAAATCTCCTTCTTGAAGGGAGCTGTCTTTCTCTAAACCACAGAGAACAAAGGATGTGATAATGGTCTCTCTTCAGGAGAACATAGTCTTAGGCTGGAATGCAGTCTAGGAAAGAGACAGAGGTTTGTTTTTAGCCCTGATCATAGCTATGTTATGTTTTTAAGAAGCTGAACCGATGCTTTGACAAGTGTATGATTTATACAACTATCTGGATGTATCATTGATTGCTTTGTGTTGGTGCTGACCTTTAAAGCCCTAAACGGCCTTGGTCCAGTATACCTGAAGGAGCGTCTCCACCCCCATCGTTCTGCCCGGACACTGAGGTCCAGCTCTGAGGGCCTTCTGGCGGTTCCCTCGCGACGAGAAGCCAAGTTACAGGGAACCAGGCAGAGGGCCTTCTCGGTAGTGGCACCCACCCTGTGGAACATCGTCCTACCGGATTTCAAAGAGAAAAATAACTACCAAACTTTTAGAAGACATCTGAAGACAGCCCTGTTTAGGGAAGCTTTTAATGTTTAATAGGTTATTGTATTTTAGTGTTTTGTTGGAAGCCGCCCAGAGTGGCTGGGGAAACCCAGCCAGATGGGCGGGGTATAAATAATAAATTATTATTATTATTTGTGTCTGTTTTTGGAACAAGTTTTGTGAGTAAAGCTTTTGAATCAATAATAATAATAGTAGTAATAATAATAATAATATCAGTAGTAGTAGTTCTAATTTATTAGTCTGGACAATTTTTATTTGTGATAAGGGGTGTGGAGAAAATCTGTGTTAGAAAATCAGTGTAACCCCTGAAGGAAGCTGACATTGAGCTCTTGCTACTGTCCGCTAGACCAGAACATCTGGAGGGTCCCAGGTTGGGGAAGCTATCATCACCGTCACCAGTGGAGGCTGGTCCACTGGGGCAAATAAAAATGACACCATCCTAGCCCTACCTGGGGATTGAACTTGGGACGTTCTGGGTGCAGAACAGATACTCTACCACTGAGCTATGGCCACAGTGAGGGAGAGATGCCAGTGTATTCCATACTGTGAGCAGAAGTGGTCATTGTACTTGCAAGTAAGAGAAGCATACCGATGCCTCAAGTGCGAAACGGGCTTCAGAATGAAGACCACCAACGTTCCCAAGGTATGAAATTGCCCCTGAGGCATTGCGAAGGAGGAACCCAAGTCTTTGGGTTGGAGAGGACGGGGAGCTTGCCAGGGTTTTTCAGAAACTGACAAACTTCATGCAACAAGAATGCAGAAAGCTCAGAGATATACAGACCTCTTCAACCAGAATCGGCTCACACTGGGAGTAATTGGCCTTGGAGGCCCAGGTCCCGTTCCCCATGCATTCTCGGTAAACATTTCCTGACAGGAAAAACCAGAAATGAAATCAGATTAATCACAATAATAATAAATTTTATTTATACCCCGCCCTCCCCAGCCAAGACCGGGCTCAGGGCGGCTAACACCAGGTATAAAAACAATTGATTAAAATACCACTTAAAATCAAGATTAAAATACAACATTAAAATCAGCCTCATTTCAATAGAAACTCAAATCAAAAAGTTTTTAGGGGATGAAAACGTCAAGTCTTCACCAAGGCCAACTATCCAGACTGGTCCTACGTGGGCCAGAAAAAAGCCAGGGAAGTCCCGAAAAAGGAGTTCCATCACAGAAGGAGAAAGGAAAAAGGAAAGAGGGGGAGGGGATCAAGCTGATTCCAAGCCAAAGGCTTGGAATTGGTTTTCAACAACAAACAATGACATTATTATTATTATTAGTAGTAGTAGTAGTAGTAGTAGTAAAAGCTAAAGGACCCCTGGATGGCTAAGTCCAGTCAAAGGCGACTATGGGGTTGCGGCGCTTATCTCGCTTTCAGGCTCATGTGGCCAGCAGGACTAAACTGCTTCTGGTGCAACGGGACACCTTGACAGAAACCAGAGCGCATGTAAACGCCGTTTACCTTCCCACCACAGCAGTACCTATTTATCTACTTGCACTGGTGTGCTTTCAAACTGCTAGGTTGGCAGGAGCTGGGACCGAGCAACGGGAGCTCACCCTGTCGCGGGGATTCGAACCACTGACCTTCTGATCAGCAAGCCCAAGAGGCTCAGTGGCTTAGACCACAGCGCCACCCGCTTCCCATCCATTATTATTAGTAGTAGTAGTAATAGTAAATGGGGGAAATCTCCCCCATCTGTTCAGGCAGGTAAGGCAGCAAATGAATTTATTAAGTTATGTAGAGTATCCATATGCTACTTTTCAAGGCAAAGGCCTCCCCAAATAATTTACCTCAGGGGTGGAGAATTGCCAGCCTGCAGACCAGATATGGCCTGCAGTCTCTTCTCTACCCCTCACCAGCTCAGCAATTAGGCTTGACAAAAGTCTTCTGTTCCAGCCAATAGGTAGGCTTTTCTAAATCTTTTTGTTTTTTGGGGGGTGCAGCTGGGGGAAGGAAGGATTAACCTTCTCCCCCTGTTCCTGTACATCCACCAGGGCCAGGGCCTTCTCAGTGATGGCTCCGACCTGGTGGAATGCTCTGTTCCATGAGAACAGGGCCCTGCAGGATTTAACTTCCTTCCGCAGGGCCTGTAAGACAGAGGTATTCCACCTGGCTTTCAATTTGAACTTAGCCTGATCTTTTATTCCACTTCCTTCCCTCCTCCTCCCCCTTTTATGAAGATTACCCGCTCTGGGATCGCACAGGTAATTCTCCCCTGGTCTCCTTCCTGGCCCAAATAGGACTAATTTAACCAGCTAGCCCTGGTGATCATCTAATGTTTATGTTTATTGGATGGATTTCCCCCTAAATTGATTTTTGAATTTTGAATTTATTGTTATTCATGTTTTATACCGGATTTTATTGCCTCAATTAAGTGTTTTAATTTTGTTGTTAGCCGCCTTGAGCCCGGTTTTCTGAACTGGTAAGGGTGGGGTATAAATTAATAATAATAATAATAATAATAATCATCATCATCATCATCATCATCCTTGGATGCATTTAAGCAGAGGTTGACCACCAGCCATGTACGTTCTAGTTGAGATTCCTGCACATTTCTATGATTCTATAAAGAAACAAAAAAAGAACGCCTTAAACGAGCGATTGAAAACCATTCCATAGCTCAGCATAACACTTGCGTGAAATCAGTCTGGGTGCTAAGAAGCTATGCCTTGAAATGGGTGATAATGTAAAACCATTAAAACTGAAAGTGGAGAATAATATCTGGGCTTTTTGTTTGGAAGCTAATGTACAGTGGTGCCTCGCAAGACGAAATTAATCCGTTCCGCGAGTATCTTCGTCTAGCGGTTTTTTCGTCTTGCGAAGCAACCCTATTAGCGGCTTAGTGGATTAGCGCTATTAGCGGTTTAGCGGCTATTAAAGGCTTAGCGGCTTAGCGGCTTAGCTGCTAAAAGGCTATTAAAGGCTTAGCGGCTTAGAAAAAGGGGGGGAGCGGAAAAAAAATCTCAAGACTCGCAAGACATTTTCGTCTTGCGAAGCAAGCCCATAGGGAAATTCGTCCTGCGAAGCGCATTGAAAAACGGAAAACCCTTTCGTCTAGCGGGTTTTCCGTCTTGCGAGGCATTCGTCTTGCGGGGCACCACTGTAGATGAGGCTGAGCATATGATACGATACAATATGATATGATATGATACTCTTTATTGTCATTGTCCCATACAGAACAACAAAACTGAAAAAATCTACATCAGACATATAAAAGCCAACAAGCCTGCTATCCCAGCTGTCCCAGTTAACCCCCTAGAAACTCTGATACCCCATAATTAAATGCAATATACGCCCATAGAGACTACCTTACACTGCGTTTAAAACCAAAATCGCATTTGGATAGAAACTGTTTCTCAGGCAGCTAGTCCTAGTCTTTATAACGCTGTACCTTCTTCCAGAAGGCAGAAGCGAAAAGAGATAATTTCCGGGGTGCGCACTATCCTGCGCTATCTATGCAGCTTTCTTGTGGCACCTGGAAGCATAGATTTGATCCAAGGTGGGAAGAGTGCACCCAATTATTCTCTCTGCAGTCTTTACAACCCTGGACGGCATTGTTTTTCCCCTGACTGTGCAGCTCTCAAACCACACACACAGACCGTAAGTTAATACACTCTCAACAGTACAATGGTAAAATGCCATCAACAGGTTCTTTGAGAGCTTGCTTTTCTGGAGGATTCTCAGAAAATATAACCTCTGCTGTGCTCTCTTCATCAGGTCTTTACTGTTTTCTCCCCAGCTTAGGTCAATGCTATTGAAGGAGATGTTCTTGTTGCAATAAATAAAAGGATTCTAAGGAAAGCAGGAAAAAATGATACAACGCTGTTCTGTCGTTCGACAGCCAACCAACCAGGTGTACAGTGGTGCCTTGGTTCTCAAACTAAATCTGTTCCAGGAGTCCGTTCGACTCCCAAAACCATTTGAAAACCAAGTTGTGGCTTTTGATTGGCTGCAGGAGCTTCCTGCGCTCAATCGGAAGCCAGGGAAGCAACGCTGGATGTTCAGTTTCCGAAAAACTTTTGCAAACCAGAACACTTGTTTCCGGGTTTGCTGCATCTGGGAGCTGATTTGCTCGACAACTAAGCTGTTCGGGAACTAAGGTACCACTATACAGTGGACCCTCAAATTATGTTACCTTCGGGTAACATAGCTTTCAGGTTGCGAATGCAGCAAACCTGGAAGTGTATACTTCTGGGTTTCGCCATGTGCGCATGCGCAGAAGTCCTCTGCACACCGTGTGTACGCGCAGAAGCACTCTATCACGCTGTGCGTGTGCGCAGAAGCGGCACCTCTAGATTTTCAGGGTACGTACGGACCCCCGGGGGACGCGGGTGGCGCTGTGGGTTAAACCACAGAGCCTAGGACTTGCCGATCAGAAGGTCGGCGGTTCGAATCCCCGTGACAGGGTGAGCTCCCGTTGCTCGGTCCCTGCTCCTGCCAACCTAGCAGTTCGAAAGCACATTAAAGTGCAAGTAGATAAATAGGTGCCGCTTTGGTGGAAAGGTAAACGGCGTTTCCATGCGCTGCTCTGGTTCGCCAGAAGCGGCTTAGTCATGCTGGCCACATGACCCGGAAGCTGTACGCCGGCTCCCTCGGCCAATAAAGCGAGATGAGCGCCACAACCCCAGAGTTGGCCACGACTGGACCTAATGGTCAGGGGTCCCTTTACCTTTACCTTTACTGACAAATATAAGAGAAACAAAAGATGAAATGTTTGTGGAAGATTGGATACCCTTTTTTGGATTCTTTGAGAAAATGCTATAGTGAAATGAAATTTCAGGCAAGACTGGAAGCATAGGCAAAGGGATTGAGATGATAAAGGAATGTAATGTAGGGCCTATGTTACATAAATAAGTACAGTGGATGCTCGGGATGCGAATGTGATCCGTGCCAGAGGCACGTTCACAACCCACAGCGTTCACAACCTGCGGTGCATGGGCAGGTTGCGATTTGGAGTTTCTGCTCTTGCGCAAAGCGCAATTTAGCGCTTCTGCGCATGCACGACCGCTGAAACCCGGAAGTAACCCGTTCCTGTACTTCCAGGTTTCGGCGGGTCCGTAACCCGAAAAAACGCAACCTGATGCGTCTGTAACCCGAGGTATGACTGTATTGAATTTGAGGCAGTAGATTAAAGGATTTGAAGAGAAACATCCTGGAAGGGATGGGAAGTCAAATGCTAAGGGGATATTGTATGGAAACTGAACTGAATTTGTTAAATTGTGTGAAAATGAATAAAAAATTATCATAAAAAATAGAACAGACCCTTTAAGATCTTTTTACAGGAGAAAGAAAGAGAAACTTAAAGTTCTGTTTAGCGCACTCACCACAAATCAGAACACACTCTCCTGCTCCCGACAGAGTTGTGTCATCATTATTCTTTTCAAAAATAAAACTGAGAATCTTCCTTTCAAACATTGATCTGCCTTTGCCTTTGAACAAGCTGTACTGAATAATTGCGGTCATTTGGATAATGAAGGCAAGGGGGTGGGAGGTTATTGTTTTCTTCT